TGATCACACCTCTCACAAAGGCAGCAGGTTCTCATAGAGGGAGACTGTGTGATCACACCTCTCACAGAGGCAGCAGGTTCTCACAGCTGGAGGCTATGTGATCACACCTCTCACAAAGGCAGTAGGTTCTCATATCTGGAGGCTGTGTGATCACACCTTTCACAAAGGCAGCAGGTTCTCATAGAGGGAGACTGTGACCACACCTCTCACAAAGGCAGCAGGTTCTCATAGCTGGAGGCTGTGTGATCACACCTCTCACACAGGCAGCAGGTTCTCACAGCTGGAGGCTGTGTGACCACACCTCTCACAAAGGCAGCAGGTTCTCATAGCTGGAGGTTGTGTGATCACACCTCTCACACAGGCAGCAGGTTCTCATACCTGGAGGCTGTGTGATCACACCTCTCACAGAGGCAGCAGGTTCTCACAGCTGGAGGCTGTGTGATCACATTTCTCATACAAGTAGACTAGAGAGAGAACAGGAAGTTCAATGAGAGTATAAACTCTCAAGAGCTCAGTGACGTATTTCTTCCAGCAAGGCTTCATGCTCAAAAAGTCCCATAAGCACCACCTGCAAGCAGTACTGTCAACTAGTGACCAAGAGTTCAGATATAGTAGCCTGTGGGAGACATTTCCCTTTCAAACCACTGATATACCAGAGTCAAATTACAAACAAGCCTGAGTTTTCACTTTTATTATTTTATATAGTATGACATGATGTTCACTTGTCAAAATGAGGTTGATACATAGTGTGGAGTGCCTCTTTCTGTATTAAAAATACTATTTTTTCTCCAGTTGTGTAATGGATGTTTTATATATTTTTCTGCTTTTTCTGTAACTGTGTAACTTTGTTTGTGTCGCACAAAAAGATTCATTTGGAATTAAAATAATCTAACCAGAGAAAGAGTTCAAATATAATTCAGCAGAAACTCAAGTCAAATTAAACACGGCCTTGCTACCACAGGCAACCAAAAAAGGATTCCCAGTGTCACGCCGGGAGTTTGCAATCAAAGCATTTTAGTGAGATACAGTCCTCTTGTACTCTGAAGACAGGGTATTATGGGATACTTAAGTTATTTTGCATAAACACTTAGGATAAAGAACGTGAGTGTTATATCAAAGTTAGTAGACGTAGCAAGGCTTTAGGAGGCACTGGGGGAAGAATGTAAAATGGCCATTATTACTCTATGGTCAAGTTACAATAAGAAGCAGTTGGAAAACCGTTCATCAAACAGCTACCCAAGCACCTCTTCAATGAACTACATTCTAGAGACACTGAACAGTGTGTTTCCCACTTGCTCCCAAACCACAGCAGGTTAGTACAAAGCCAAAACCCTTTAGGCACTCAGTTAAATGGCAATTGAATTAGGTGGTGCATACGACTGAGCCAATAAAGAGCTGTGTGTCTTTGAGTAATTCCTTTAGCCTCTCTGGGGCTCTAAATTATGACAGCATTTTGAGTTATAGAATTATAAATCTTTTTGAGTTCTACGAATCCTGAAAGTCAAAATACGGCCTTCCTTTTCCTCAGAACCAAGAGTCCCTTTGTGGTTACAAAGGCTGTTTGCCAGCCTGTCCAGTTGTTGCATTTGTTAATACATTGCCTAGCATGACCTTGCAAACAGGTAGTCCTCAAGGAGTGCTCGCCGATATTTGATCCCTGGAATTTAATTTTCTCAGAACTTTAAGAGTATCACCAGGCCTGGCTGGAGCATGTGCAGGAGTTTATCTGGCTTTTGGTTTTCTTCAAAGGCCAGAGTCAAGTTGAACAGATGTTTGGCTGTCTTTAGGTGTGCCACATCTATGGCGTGATGAAACTTCCCGAGCCGGGAATCCAAATCACAGCCTTTGCTCAACTGGATTTAGCATTTCCAGGGACCAAAGTCATGTTTCTGCATCCATTCTGTTTTTCTCATCAAAACTAGTTATGGTAAGGCTGAGAGGCAGCTCCTTAAGTGAAGTGTTGGCCACACAAGTGTGAGGACCCAGAGCTCATTAAAAAAAAAAAAAAACAGAAATGGTGGCCTATGCCTATAATCTCAGGGCTAGAGAGGCTCTCTGGCCAGCTAGCCTAGCCTATTTGGCAAGTTCCAGGCCAATGAAAGATCCTATGTCAAAACAAAGGTTGAAGGTTCTTGAAGAATAAATAGTTCCAAGGCTGTTTTCTGGCTTCTACATCATGCATACACAAGCACCTACTCACACGTGAGCACACACATACATGTGTGTACACACACCCATACACAAAATGACTTCAGTATACAGTCTGTTTCTAAGGTTCCTAGCTTGACCACCACTTGGAGAAAGTTAAAGGCCCCAGATATATATCATCCAAGGCATGTGTTCCTTTTATCTCGTCTTTTCGATTTCTCTTTCTTTGTGTATTTAGTCACAGGTACTGGTGTGTTTGGTTCCTCTAATCGAGGTAGGAAACTAAACTTGAGTCTTCCCTTTCATCTTTTTGTCCTTTGTACCTGGCAGTAGAGTAGAGACGAGTCTTTCTTTCTTTTCCATTTGTGTCTATAAGTCTATTCACTTTTCTGAATAAAGGAGTTTCCAATTCTGTTTCTGACTGACTGACCACTGTCTTTCTAGGCTTGTTATGAAACGTATGAAGAGAATAAGAGGAAACACATGCAAGCTCTGCATTCTTTAGTTTACATACATGAGCTGGTCTCCTGAGGTCATACATACAGAGAGCTCAGACAGTTACCTTGTTCTTGGTTTTTCCATCAGGCTCTATGAACCTTCAGATTGCCACCAGGAACTGGGAAGAATTCTCACCCTAAAAAATAAAATCAGAAACGTCAAAATCTAGTTCCATCTGGTAATCAGTGCTGCCCAAATCAGGAGCTTTTCCTCAAGTCTCTGCCCTGGCCTGGTTGCTCTCCCTGGGGTCACTGAAGAAGGACAGAGTTGTGATTGGTCATGCTTGCCACTAGAGGGCAGTGCTGACCATTAACAGAGTGACTAAGGAGGTGGCCTTTGGATTTTGAAAGCGCATTTATGCCTTTGACTGAGAGAAAGTAGATGAGGGGTTCATTCGTGGTGTTCTATACATTATATACAGACTGAAGGATAGATATTGTGAACATGGCTGACAATTGTGTTCCAGAATACAACAGCGTTTGTTTCCCGTTTCTGGATGGGAACCACTTGTGGGCACATTACCTCATTTAGGAGTCCTGACTGGTGGTGCATCTTTAAAAGTGTTACAATAAGTGTTATTCTATAAGGACCGTGGGTACATGTGGAGGTGGGGATCTGTAGGGGTCCAGCTACTTCAATGAAGTTCTCACATTTCCACATACTCTAAGACCCTTCTCCAGCTTTCCGATACAGAAGGGTGCCACATTAGTATTACACACTGTTCATTTTTAAGCTATTTAATGTGTAGAACCACAAAGATTTGCTATTGGAATATGATATGACAGCCTCAGTGCTTTGGTTTTGAGTTTCAAATTCACTTATATATGATATTGCAAAGGGGCTCTGCTGGGTGATGGGATCCTTAAGTCCGTTTGACGGAGCTCGCTTGATGTTTTTATTTTACCTCTATGCACCATTTCCCCAGGGTCTCCCTTGCCTATACGGGCAGGAGTAACTAACATTTGTTGAAAATCTGCTGTATAGGAGATATTTCTTTCATGACTTACCTCATCTGATACCCACAACAATCCCTGGGGTAGAAATTGCTTCTCTCCCTTACACAAGTGAGGAGACCGAGTTTAAGGTTGCCAAGAACTTGCTCAGAATCACACTGACAATAAGCACCGGCCAGGATTTGGATAAAGATCTACTTCTGCCACAAACCCACATCTCCCCTCCCCCATTCCGAAGTGGCCTTATGTGGTGTAAACAATACTATTACTGTCCCCTTCCTTCCACTCCTATTATCGTGCCCAGCCCTGCCCAGCACTTACGTATCAGACATATTGAGAAGTTTAATTCTTCTAGCCTGTTACTCTCCTGAGAATATAAGCCTCAAGTGTACATGGTATATCACAGTTCAATGTTTCTTCTTCTTCTTCTTCTTCTTCTTCTTCTTCTTCTTCTTCTTCTTCTTCTTCTTCTTCTTCTTCTTCTTCTTCT